GCCTTCCCCTCTCCCCCTCCACGTCCTCGTGGCTTCTCCTGCATCCGCTGGACGTGGCCCTCTCCCAGGGTGCAGAGCGTTGGCGGCTAAGCCCCAGGGTGCCCTGCTGGGCGAGGGAGGGGTATCAAACATGGCACTGCTAAGCACACCCCCCGAGGATGGATCATAGCCCTGGGCTGAACAGTACCACTCAGCAACCAGCGACTTTCCACTGTCTTCATGAGCTCTGTTCTAGGGCCCGCTCCTGCACTCCCCGCGCGGCTGTGCACGCCCAGGGCTGGCTCGCTCTCCCTGATACAAGCGTATGTCCGGAGGGCTCCCTCGCCCCACTGCGGCTGTCGAATGGGGCCATGCGATTACCTGGCTGTTTTGTTGACGTTGGATCTGAGCATTTTCACTGCCACGAGCACCGGCTGGGTGGGGAGCTCCAGAGAGGAGAGTCCCAAAAATTCCAACAGCCCATCTGCCTCGCACAGGTGCACCTGGCAAAGGAAGCGAGAGTCAGCCAGGAACGTGCATGCGGAGGCCGGCGAAGAAGACGTCACGTTCTAGCGGATGGCGACAGTGACAGCCGACCGGCCTACACCTTGAAAGCAAACGTCAGTGAGTTCAGGCTGAGCTTGAACCGAACACAAAGGGTTCCCGCCATCAGCCCAATCCACACAAAAGGCATGAAACCAAACAACGGGGGGCGGGGGCGCCAGACACCAGGAGACCCCTGGTTCCCACCTGAGATGCCTGCTGGAAACACCTAAGCCTGACCAGGGAAGGACGAGGTCAGGCTGGAAGGCTGCCTCGCTTGGGAGAAAAGGCGATTGGAACTGCAGGGCAGGGAATAGCCTGGAGCGCGGATGGACAGGCCGGGACTCACGGGCCAGTTTGGTTTGCGGGGGCTGGGGAGGGTGGCAATGGGAGAAGGGAGAGCTGGCAGGGGCAGGGCAGGTGGGGTGCGCTGACAGGGACAGCAGGAGGAGGGATGGAGGCAGGGAGAGTGAAGGGGAAATGGGACCGTGCTGAGGACAGTGACGGGGGCCGGTCAGTGAACTCGTGGGAGCGAAGGCCAGGCTGCCCCAGGGTCGTCAGGGTCCCTCAGTGCTGGGGGTCTGTCTCCACCGCCGGCCCCCTGGCTCAGCGCAGGGCCCGCGAGGGAATGTGCCAGCACCCCTGCCAGGCACCAGACGCCGGTCCGTCAGCTCTGGTGGAGCACCAGGCCGGGAGCCTGCTGCAGAGGGGGGTGGAGAGGTGCCCGTACCTCTCCGAACTGCCCTTCCCCCAGCTTCTCCTTGAGCCGCAGCTGCTGCCAGGGGAACTCGCCCACGGAGATGTCCTTCTTGGTGAGCGAATCGACGGTGAGGGCCGGCACGGCGTACATGTTATTGCCCGTCACGCCCTGCAGGCTGACGATGTCGGTCTCCGCGTAGTGGGGCACGTTGTTCTGGAAGCCCTGGTGGGGGGTGGACTTGGTGAGGTCGGGCTCCGCGTAGTCACCGCTGCAGGCTGAGGGAACACCACAGACACGGCTTGTCAAGCTGGCCTCATCTCAGGCCCAGGGCTGCTGCGCAGGCCTGCTCCTGTCGCGACGAGGCTCCACCCCGGCAAACCGTAAAGACCTGTATCCCTCTGTGTGTGTGTGCGTGTGTGTGAGAGAGAGAGAGTGTGTGTGTGTGCGTGTGTGAGAGAGAGACAAGGCTCTACCCCGCATATGTGTGTGTGTGCGTGAGAGAGAGAGAGTGTGTGTGTGCGTGAGAGAGAGAGTGTGTGTGTGCGAGTGTGTGAGAGAGAGAGAGAGTGCACGTGTGTGAGAGAGAGAGAGTGTGTGTGTGCGTGAGAGAGAGAGAGAGCGTGTGTGTGAGTGTGAGAGAGAGAGAGACAAGGATCCACCCCGCATATGTGTGTGTGTGCGAGAGAGAGAGAGAGAGAGGATATGTCTACACTACCCCGCTAGTTCGAACTAGCGGGGTAGTGTAGACATACCCCTATAGAGCACTTGTCAGCCCAGGAAGGGGAGCCTACTAGAGGAACTGAACCCAGTTCTGTCATAGAGCACCCCAGAGCACTAATTAATGGCTTATCTGGTTGCTGGCAAAAAACTGTTTCCACTTTTATTTTCAAATTGGAAAAGATAATCTTATTTAATACTATCACAAGAGTGAAATGGAAAGCCAAGTGGAAAGCAATTTGATTGGATTGTTTCTGATCCTCCAAATGGAAGGATTTGAAAAGTTCAAAGCCATAGCAAAATGGATATTTTCCATGTTTGTAGCTGTTAATTACTTCAGACTGAGGGAGATACATCATAGAAAACAGCTCTTCCTGTGGGCATTTACTGGAAACTGTACACTGAAATGTATCTGAAAAACTAGGACCACATCCAAAAGAAAATCTCTGTTGACAGAATCCCAGCAAAAGTAATCTCTTGGAAATCAAAGATAATTAGCTATTAAAGCCTACATCTCTACAAGCCATTGGGGGAAGAAGAACATGCTCTTTTATTAAGCTCTTATTACCAAAATTAAAATAATCCAGATTACTGTAGAGGATGCCAGTGCTTTATTGTTCCCTTATCATAATCAGATGTGATAAATGCAGTTGTAATCCTGGCGAATTCTGTAATAACAATGTATATAGCTATGCCTTATAGGTAGGAGTAATCAGATGCCAAGCTTCAGGGCACAAAATAATTGCCTGCAGAGGTCAGAAAGATTTTTAACTTCGCTGTGATGCACTGCACAGTTGTGTAGCTACTTTATGTACATGGGAGTGAGGTGGTGTTCTAGAATTGAGATTAGTTATTGGCCACTATTATTGGAGGCAGGGTATCAGACCTGAAAACTAATGGACTGATTCTGTATGAAAAGTCCTATGGAAAATAATATGATTCAGAGAGGCAACACAAGATTAATTCTTAGAATCTGAAGTACAGACAACAATATGGTCTGGCAGGAGACTGCATCTTGTGAACTCTGGTAATAAATGGTTCTCTAACCAAGATAAAGGACAGAACTATCTCTTAAGTTGTGCACTAGTGATAGAATAGAAATGCAGGTGAAATCAGTGGAAATGCTATCGTCTTCATTATTTGAGTAGCCATAAGAAGGAATTCTTCAGATCAGTCACATTACAAATTGTATATTATACATGTATGTCAATATACATATGTTCTTTGAAGGGCTGGCCTGAGCCATTCATGCGCCCCAGGCCCGGGTGCCCGGCGCATGCGTGACCCCACCCCCAGGCACCTGGGAGCCTCTATAGGTTGGGGACCACTGCGGGGCAGGGGGGCGTGGGCGCGCGTCCTGATTAGAGTCCAGCTTGTGTATGGCCATCGCCCAACTCAAATCACAACCCCAGACAAAACCGCCGCCTGCGCCTGCGTGACACAGGGCACCTCAGGGTTCCTAGGGAATGGCGGGACGGGCGGCTGCCCCTGGGGAGCAGCCCTGGGTCCCATC